TGGTGCGACGACGATGGGGCCAGGGAGGTGCTCAGGCAGCATGGGGATGGGAAAGAGGAGGTTTCGGGGGTTCTCCTTATATAGGCCGGAGGGGAGGAGTTCGACTGTACGGACGGGAAACGGCGCCGGCAACGATGAAGTTCCCCATTGACGACAACGGTTAAAGAAATCGATTGAGTGCGATTTAGTGCGGGATTAAGCGGGATTTGTTGGGGGAATTGATGCCCACTACACAATAAACAGATTTTTGCAATTAATTTGGAGGGAAATCAACGAGATCGAGAGGGCGCGTGGTGGCGCTTGAGCTCACGAGAGAGACGTGTGCGGCTGGAGGTAGGAGACGCCTCCGACAGGTGAGCCCCACGGGAGGTGTGTGCGCGTGCAGCGCACGTGTGGCGCGGGCGGTCTCGGGGAGATGGGCCGGCGCGAGGGGGCAGTGGGCTCGTGGGTCGTGGCTTGGTTGGGCCGGGATGGAGGGGGAGGCAACTTGGGCCGAGCAGGATAAGATGGGGAAGAAGGAGAGATGGGCCGGAGCGGGCCGAGAAAGGGAGGGAGCCGAGGGGAGAGAGGGAGAGGATGATAATTATAGAATGGAACGACTAACCCGATTGGAATGTTGGAGCCGTCGATGATGCAACGTTGCCGATTAAATAATTAGCTTGGTGATCTGGTTCTTCGGTTTGTGCTTGACGATCGAGGATATATGTACAACACATACACGGTCATGCCTCTCTGTTTGATTGGTTGGCTCTGGCTTGCCATGCATGCTGGCATGCATATGTATTACTCCCTCCGTAACAAAATGTTTGACACCGTTGACTTTTTAGCGTATGTTTGACCGTTCGTCTTATTCAAAAAGAATTGTGAAATATGTAAAATTATATGTGTATATAAAAGTATATTTAACAATGAATCAAATGATATGAAAAAAATAAATAATTACTTAAATTTTTTGAATAAGACGAATGGTCAAACACGTACTAAAAAGTCAACAGTGTCAAACATTTTGAAACGGAGGGAGTAGATGGGAACACACACTCATCTGAAGGCCCTTGATAACTAGGGGAATAACTGACGCCCAATTGTAGATTGATTTAATCGGTGGTCAGCCTCTTTGTTGATCGACTTGATCTAGTAGGAATTTTCGGCGACGTTGGAATCCAGCTTCTTATTGAGAAGAAAATGGCCCGGATGAAGGTAGTACCAAAGCTGCTGACAAATAGTTCCATCACACTTCTCGACAGTAAACTCGATACAACCTCTACCTGACGTGCCAACTATCGAAACTGGAATTCGACAATAATAATCGGGGGTAGCGCATGAGACTTAAAAGTGGATGGATGCAGAAACAAGGATTTAGACAGGTTCAGTAATATCCTACTCCTGTTTGAGGATTTGAATCCACCGAGTTGTGTATTGATCTGACGATCTCATCTGTGAATACCCAAAAGGGGCATCCTGCCCTCCTTATATAGGCGAAGGAGCAGTATTAAGAGATAGAAACTTATCTCCATACGGTTTAAGTTTTCTATATCTGATCTACAAACTTAACAGACTAGGACTACAAGCCGTTTCTTGATACACAAGTAGGTGACGTACCCGTCGACAGCGAGGCGCCTGTGATGACTTCATCAATCTCTCCAGAATTTGCCGGCCCAGTCTTCGAAGATGCTCATAGGGGTAGGGTTGCGTGCGTGTGTTCATAAGAGTGAGTGTGCGTGCGTTGTGAGTGTCTGCGTTGTACTGTATAATTCTTAAAAAAAATGTAATACCCGAGTCCTAGTCTTATACATATTAATATACATGATCTATCCCCTGTAACCAGTCGGATAGTCCAGCCGTGTGGGTATGTGGTATCCATAATCTCCACAAATACCTACATTCATCTATCTGTATATCAGCACACTGTGACGAAAAAAAGTAAATCACGAATATCCCAATGATTTAGCAACAGACAATTCAAGCTGTACCAAAAATAAACTGAAAGATTACATCCCCTTTCTTGTCTCCCTTCGCGTTGTTCATGTTATAGGGTTTGAATGTTCACCAGAAGGAGACAGAGGGAAAAGCGTTGGCATGGTTGAGGGTTGAAGAGGAGACAAGATCGCCCGGTCGACTGCTAAGCGCAAGCTAGCACATTTGTAAGTTATCCTATGCTTATTTACACATCTGATTAGTTATTTATATAGTTCATAAATTCCGTATATAAGGGACTAAAATTTTGTGGGATAGTAAACGAGATTTCCTCCTGTGATGTTCTTCTAGTGTTTGAATGGGTTCATCCACGAGTAGACACGGTTGAGAAAGAAGCTCTGGCATGGTCAAGCGTTTGAATAGGAGGCAGGATCTGATTGATATGTACGAGTGCGTGCATAAGTAAGATGTCCTATGCTTATTTGTGCAGTTGTTTAGTCATTTATGTAGTTCACAAATTTCTTTGTACAAGGGAACGAAAAGAGATATCCTAATATGTTCTTCATCTGGGGTTTGAATAGGTGAACCTACAAGGTGACATAATTGAGGAAGAAGCTCTAACACCGCAGCTGCAATTGAACCTATCATCTATTGTTATAGATAGGTTGTTGTTGATGAAGTTTGACTGACATATTTTATCATGAGGGTGTGATATGGGTGTGTGTGAGCATGTCACCATGATCATGTCAAAGCTACTTGTCTTGGTAGGTTGTTGGTTAACCAATGTAGCATGTTCAAATGGAAACAAGTATCATATATGTTTTATCTACAGCATATATTTTCTAGGTATAATTGATAAAATGAATAATTTAAATTGACACTAACCTTAGGTGATATTTTAAACCGATCATGTTTTTGAAACACAATATAGATCTCTTGTTGGAAACAAAAAATATTTTTCAACTGAATTAAAGATAGGAGTTTTTACATGTTCGTTGGAACAAAATGTTAATGTAGAGAAAAGCACGTAAATTATGCCAATAACGCGTTATAAGATCACAATGTAAATCTAGAGAAAACTACGCAAAAGAGAACATTAAAGAACACAGAGTAACTCTAGATAAAATTTTGCAACTTAAGAAGCTATAGGACTTAACTCAAACACAACGTAAATCTATAGGAAACCACGCAAAAGAGAAAATGAAGCAAAAGAGAAAACTCGTATACCTACGCAGTACTGATTCTATTTAGGGGGACAATTCTGCCCTTTTGCTCTACTAGTAAAATTATATTTTTACCCTTAGTACTTAAGTATCTATCCCTATACTTAAATACCTTTTATATGATACGTGAGATTGAGGAGCATTGGGTCTGTACCCTCTTTGAATGCAAACATCATAAAAGTTCTCATTTATTTTAGGTTAAGAAGATGGGAAAGTATCTTTCCCTCTACAAGAACAGTGTTGTTCAAAGGTGTGTAGTGGGAAAGAGGAGATGTGATGATTGGGATTTTGAATAAGACGATCTTGCATTTTCTATCGCAAAAACTATTTCGACAGGCCTCTCGATTTGGCGCTATCGCGCGACGCCACGAAAACCGTCCCAGCCATCCCACCACGCGTCATCCTCCTCATCCATTAGCGTGCAAGAAAAAGAGAGACCGAGAGAGAATGGGAGAGACAAACGTGGCAGGTTTCCTAAGACGTGGCGGAGGTTTCAAATAAAATTTTCTCTTAAACTACTCATCCGATCTACGATCCGATTACACCGTTGTGTTCGTAACAATTAAATCTCTATAACAGATCTCACATGATTATATTTTGATGAAAAAATATAAATTACTTTTATAATATATCTAAATTACTTTTAGATTTCACCTAGTTACTTCTTAGACATATAAAAGTAAATGTAGTAACTGTTAAAAGTAATGTACATATATATTATAAAAGTTACTTCTATAATATATGTAAATTACTTTTAGGCTTTATTAAATATACTTTTATATGTCTAAGAAGTAACTTAGTGAAATCTAAAAGTAATTTAGATATATTATAAAAGTAATTTATAATTTTTTATCAAAATATAATCATGTGAGATCTTGTTAGAAAGATTTAATTATTACGAACACAACGGTGTAATCGGATCGTAGATCGGATGAGTAGTTTAAGAGAAAATTTTATTTGAAATATTGGTAGATAGGATCTCTCATAGATGGAGTGGTAGCTAGTTTAGACAAACCAGCTACCACTAGCTGTGTAGTCACGTCCATTTTCTATATAAATGTGCGATGATCAGCTCGTATGTTTGTTGTATTGGAAAGAGGAAAAAAAAGGAAAAAAAGTTCCTGTGTGCTATCAGGAAAGTATAATGCAGTGGCAGTATTCATAACGTATCCAGACATTAAGCAAGGGCAACCATAAAATAAATTCGGATGGTAATCATAATAATATTTGTTAACAGAGAGCTGCATGTTCCTTCCGCATTGGTTAATATTCCTGAACATGAGAATCGACAAAGGGCCTTGTAATGGCGAACAGATATCCAGCAATTTCGATCATTGGCATTGCCATCAAAAATCAGGTGAACTCGTCTGAAAATTGCAGTACGTTTGGACCTGGACAATAGTGAAGTGCATTATTTGTCAGGCTTCGGCAGTTCGGCGGTAAGGCTGATTAGCAGTTTAGCACATGTTTCTGACAACCGTATGCATATTAATTCGTGGATTTGCCATAAGGGCACCCACAATGGTTATCTATAGGCTCTCTACAAGAGATCCATGTCAGCATATTTTCCTATTTGGAATGTATTAAATGAAGAGAGAGAGCAAAGCTATCTACTAACTTAGAGATAGTCTATAGAGAAAAACGAGGCAATGCATGAGAGAGCTATAGATACCAATGTAAACATACTATTAAGGTGGTTTACTATTAATCGAGTCTATTGCTGAGATGTACATGTTTTATAGATAGCACCTTACTTTACCATTGCGGGTGCTCTAAGGGAAGTTTCAGACTGCAGTCGTTAACATTAGTTTGTGAAACAATCAAGGATGGATAATAGTCAGAGGCCATAGATAAGTACTCCCTCCAGTCATTAATATTCCACGTTACTGATTTTAGTGTTAAAAACGTGATATATTAATGACTTGAATGAGAGTATGTATGAGGTCATATAGAACAAATAAAAAGATAACAGCTGATAACCTTCGCATTGATCTTCTCATCCACTGTACTCTTTGTGAGACGTCATTCATGGATCATCTCATCCTAACTTCGCTTCACCAGCACTCTATCCTTCCTCTTCTTCACCATTACACCATGCCTTCCCTCCTCTGCTCCTTTCCTCTTCCTCACCAACACTCTATCCTCTTCTTCACCGTCACTCAATGCCATCCACCTGTCCCTCCTCTGCCTATACCCTATATGTATTCACCCAAAGGCAGCTTCATTCCATCCGCATGAGCATGCATCTTCCACCACTGACAAGTGCGTGACAACAGTGACCGAGAGTGATCATCGACCACTCCTCCAAGTCTCTACAGCATGTCATGGTATTTGAGTGGACCAAGACATCATTTTCTTTCTTTCCAATTGATCGAATTCCCGTGCATGTACGCATTATGGTCTCATCTCTCTTTTCTAATGCTCCCTCTATAACATTCGCTGCAGGAGGTGGTGGTGGTACGAAAGGGCGCAAGAGTTGGAGCGCCAAAACACTAGACTGTACAATGAGAAGCGTAACCTGGAGCACAGGGTGGGGAATTTGGTGTACCAAAACATCTCGCTATCCAATGAGAAGGATGATCTGAAGAATCAACTGGAGAAGAAGAGGAGAGCGGTATCTGTGTACTTAGGAAAGGTCTCTACACTGGAGTACAAGGTACAGGAGTTGGAGAACCAAAACACCAAACTGTCTGGTGAGCTAGTGAAGCAACGGGAGGACATGAGGAAGGCGGGTTTGATGTTCATGAATGCTGCTGATACATACCAACAATTAGCAAAGAAGCAAATTAGGACAAAGGAAGAGGAATTGGCGAACACCAGGAAGGCAGGCCTTCTGTTAATCAACGCTACTGATAAATACCAAGAATTAGCAAGGAAGCAAATTAAAGCAAAAGTTGAGGACCTGGAGGATGCAAGGAAGGCGGTTTTGGTGGTTATGAATGCTGCCGATACATACCAACATGTAGCGGAGAAGAAAATTAAGGATAAGGTGGAAGAATTGAGGGTCCTTGGGGTCCAAAAGGCAGAAATGGATGCGAGGGCCGCATCTTTGGAGTCTGGCTCAAGGTAGCTCTAGTGAAGAATCAGGAATTGGAGGCTGACTGTGATAAGATGAAGATAGAAAATAATAAGCTTTGGTTGGAGGTTGAGAGGCTCAAGATGGAATCGATTGCAGTGGCCCATAGGAAAGAGGCAGCTGCAAATGCATTTGATGCTGAGAAGGCAGAAACTATGAAAGAATTGGAAGACCATAAGATGGATGTGGAGGAAATACCGACTACCATGGATTTGATGAAGGGTGAAAATGATAATATTCAGTTGGAGGTCTTGACAGCAGCGCATCAACATAGCTCGTGTGAAGCAGGGGTTGAGAGGCTCAGGATGGAATTAGACGTGTTATTGGAGGTAAAGGACACATGCAAAATCATGGAGTCTGGAGACCTTAATGGGGAAGTGAAGGAAATCCCAGCTGCTCATTTCATGAAGAGTGAATATGATAAGCTTCAGTTGGACATTTTAACTGCAGAACATAAACATATTCTGTCAGAAGCACAAGTTGATTGGCTCAAGGAGAATATTTAGCGCATATTTTTTTTCTTGAAACATTTATATCTCTCTGTATGGTCTGGCTCCGAGGGCCACACCATGTCTTTACTCTGTTGAAAATACTAAAATAAATTGATATTGTGAAATGGGTTTACAATTCAGAAATAGATCATAATTGTGAGATTTCAAAATTCTTATTGTAATATGTGGATCAAATTTATCTTTTTAATTATCCGTGCGTTGCAATGTGTTAAGGCATTTTTTCATTAATCATACACATCGTCTGTACATTGCAATGAGATAAAATGGCAAAGAGGTTGGCTTATTGAGTAAACAGAGGAAGTATTATTCGCATATGGCCGACTGAGACTGCTCAACATTCCAATTTTTAATGACGAATGAAAACCAGAAAGACAATAGATCGAATCATGACTAGCTATGTCCCTTGATGATATAATTTACTTATCAACGACTTATGAACATATAATTGGTTGCCGATTTGTTATAAATATTCTTTGATATTTTTTCTCACTTGTTTCCCTGTATCTTCATCACCGATTTCACTATCTTGATGAGAACTCAAATGCGGATATAAAAGCATAAAAAACCAAAGTAGTAAGTCTATTTTGCCTCCCTCCTCTCTTGCTATTGGTTGAATCGCCTCCTTCAACCGAAAAACTGGGCATAACGCCTCTCTTATCTTTGAAAAATGGTGCAAATCAGCTCTTTTAGTGGTTTTGAAAGCGGTTTCTCCTAACGTGGCAGTTTGACCATAGTTAACTCGTTAAGTCAGCATATGGGACGCACCTCTTAGTGATTTCCACCTCATCTCATCCTCTTCCTCACCTCTCTCTTTCTCCTCTCTTCCTTCTCACTCACCTTCTAGCAGTTGGTTGGCCGGCGAGCTCTTTCCTACATGCGATGGCCAATAACTCCTCCTATCGAATGCAACCGGTTGGTTAGCGAAAGAGCTCCTCACCCCACTCATAGTGAGCCAACGAGATCCTCCCTGCATGTGTCGCAGTCGGTGAGTCCTCCCATCGAGCGCAGCCGGCCAACTATCTCCTCCCCACGTGCCACAACCGGAAAGGTCCAACCCGTGTGCACGGTCGGCAGGCGAGCTCCTGCCCTACGCTCCGTGGCTGGGAGCTCCTCCTTCCACGCGCGGCTGGCTGACGAGCTCCTCCTCGCGTGCACGACGAGTTGGGGAGCTCCTCCCCCACGCGTCGTGGCTGGCCAGGTCCTCCTAGTGTGTGTGACGGACCGACGAGCTCCTCCTCTCGTGTGTACTTGGACTGAGCTCTCTGCTTGGCGCGATGGGACAACTTAGTAGCTCGCCGTCATCGAGGGAGGCGAGCTCCTCCACCACATGCAGCGGCTGACCAGCGAGCTCCTTCCTTAAGTGATACTGCCGGCGAGCTCCTCCCCATCTACATGTGGTGCATCGAGCCAACCATGACCACATGACGTCGGGCGCCCGAGGCACGCTGCCCGACACCAGTGACGGTAGTTGCTGCCTGCAAAGCTAGGTACCGGCGCTGCCGCCTGGCCTCTTTTGTTGATGGAAGGTGAGAGAGGAGAAACAAAGTAGAGAGGTGAGGAAAAAAAATGAAATGCATGTCAGTCCCACCTGCCATGTCAGCAAAAACTACATCCAAAACCACCGGAGGAGTTAATTTACACTGGTTTTTGAAGATGGACGATGTATTATACCCGGCTTTACGGTTGAGGGAGGCTATTTAACTAGGAACAAGATTTGAGAGAGGCAAAATAGACTTATTAAAATCAAATGCAAAAGGAAAAAGTACACCGAAGGACCCTCAACTTGTCATCGGGATACAAAAGCGTCCTCGAACCGTAAAACCAGATATGGGGGGTCCCTCAACTATACAAAACCGGTCACCCGAGATCCCTTGGTAGTTTTCAACCCAGTTTTGTCTGACGTGGCTGCTGAGTCACGTGGGACCCATGTGGGCCCCACATGCCAGCTGGCCACGTCATACCCTCTCCCCTCCTCTCCCTTTCTCCTCTCTCTCTCACTCTTCTCGTCTGGGAAGGCACTAGGCAGCTAGGGAGGACATCGGCGGCCGGTGATGGGCAACACGACGGCGGCGGCTAGCGTCTGGCGACACGCTGCCGCCGCTGCTCCGCCACCGCTCTCGCCTGCCGTTGCAGAGGCCGCAGGCGCGAAGGCAGGCCGCTGTCGAGGGGGGAGGTAGGGCAAGCAGGGGGGGCGGGGAGGCCAGTGGCGACCTCCTCACCGGGCAGAGACGCCAATAGTGCAGAGAGGACGAGCACCACGGTGGGGTTGACCACCGCGGCATCAGGATCGCGCGCGAGGAATGGAGCGTAGATGGAGGCGGCGGCGGAGGGAGCGAACTGCTGGTGGAGGATGGAGTGGAAGGTGGGGGCGGGAAGGGAACCAAATGAAGGCCGGGGCATCGGTGGAGGCGATGACCTCGGAGAGGAGCGGGTCGGCGGTGTGGAGGCTAGCTAGCTTGCCATTTCATGCGTGCATGCGTCATGCAAATATAGAAATCCACACTGTGCCCAATCTATACTTGGTCAATTAGTATATATATGCGTGTGTTATACATATGCGTGTGTATACAGATTACAGAGAATCAAGAGCAAGCTATGTTATTTGGCCGGTGAAGCAACTACGTGCATGCATGCATGCATAGTTATGCACAAACATATATGGTGCTCGATTAGGGGTGAGGTGATTAGCGGGCTTAATTAAGAAATGGATGCGCTTGCCCCTGGACTTAGCCCATATCCGTGAATGACGTGATCACGGCGTATTATGCATATCCGCGGTTTTGATTTATCGGCTAGATAAGCTTGCTTATCGATCAAATTAAAGAGATAAGCTAGGGTTTTGATTTATCTAAACGATTTCTGCTGGTCACGCGCGCGGAGGAAAAGGCAGTTCCAAACACGGAAACATAGGAATAAGTTAAATTATTGTCACCGGACTATGGCCCAGCAACAAAACGAACTAACAAATCAAGTTTATCTCTATTGATTGCTCCTTATCGGCAGGAAAATCGGAGGAGGTCGCTCCGGTATATCGCAATGGCGGACGCGTGGTGTGCGGCGCAGCACCGACCTCGTAGACGTTGTTTACCACCTTAAACAAGGACGTCGTCGGTGAGCGAGAAGACGCGCGTGCACTTCGGCGCCGCCACCCAGGTTCGCCATGGCTGTAGATCGATCGTTTTTTTTCATTCAGAACGGAAGCAGGAGGGAGGAAGAGAGAGATGGCTGGGGTACCTTTTGGCGAGCCGAGGGAGCGTCGGCGTCTCCGGTGTCGTCGCTGCCACCGCTGCACCGGAGAAGGGGGAGAGGGGGGGTTGGATTTGGAGGAAAAAGAAAAAGGCGGCGATGCGAGGGAGTCGGAATGAATCGAGGCTGCCGTCGTGCTCCCCTTCTCGCTCGTCGCTGTGTTTCCTAGCTGCTGCCGCCGGGCGCTAGCCACAAGCCATCGTCACGGCGCTACCGCCCTCCTCCCGCCTCGCCTGCTGGCCTCCCGCCGTTTTGCCTCGCCCAGAAAGAGAGAAAAGGAGAAAGAGTAGGGTGATGACGTGGATTACGCTGACATGTGGGGCCCATGTCGGTCCCACACTGAGTCAGCCGCCAAGTAGACTAAAACTGGGGTCAAAACCGCTGAGGGACCTTTTGTGACCGGTTTTGATTAGTTAAGGGACGTGGGATATCTGGTTTTGCGGTTTGAGGACGATTTTGTATCTCGATGACAAGTTGAGGGACCTTGGGTGTACTTTTTCCAATGGAAAAGTAGGTTCTTAATCTTGGTAACAACCAAAAATTCAGCCCAGGAGGCTGCCCAATATGCCCAGCAGATGAGCAAACAACCTAATATTCCCCTGCACCGCCGGCTGTATTGCATTATCTCTCCCTCTCCGTAACACATGTGACGACGCACGCATGTCTGCTTCCACCCCCCACCTGGACGCCTCCTCTCCCCAACTCCGCAATTCCGCATCGCGTAACGCTGTCTCCTCCGCTCTGCGTAGCGTGCCGTCGTGCGCCACCACCTCCTCCTCTTCCGCCCCACCCCCTCCAACACCTCCTCCTCCGTCCTGACATCGTCTCCTCGCTCATTGATATCAGTTAAAAAGTTGCCTAATGTGATGGGTTTCATCTGAAATCTCGCTCTGGCTGAGATATAGCTCGTGCACGTTTTAGGCATGACAACAATTTAATCTTGTAAAATTAATAAGTAAGATCATGAACCAAGACATGCATCTTGCAAGTCACTATATCTGTGTGCAGTGTGCTGATTTTGAACTACATCTTTGAAATATGATATCTTTAGAAGAGAATCAAAATATCCATTTCCAACATCTTCTTGTTACTCTAGTTCATTGATTGGAATAATTAAAACCTCTCCTATCCATTGAGCAATCAAGTGGTAATTGTCTCTAAACTAAGTAACCTTCTGGAAATACTGAACAGCGAAGGAAACACTGCTACAAATAAGCTGGCAAATGATGAACATTGCTCAACCGGAGGGACTTAGAGCACCCTTTCCTTGACATTCCACAATTCACTGTCCCTGATTGCCAGCCAACTACTTATATCATTCTGGCCATGATGCCACCATGAGTTTTGACTGCTAAAGGAAACCCATCACATTTTCTTATGATATATGTTCCAATTTTTGTAAATTCTGAATCCAAATTTTCCTTACACCTTCCAATACTTCTTAGAAACAGTTTCCATGTATCTTGCTCTGATAAAACAGGTAAATCATAATGAACTGTGGATTTTAGTACTTTTTGGTGACTTCCCGACTTTACATAGTGAGTAAAATCACACTTCCCGAATTTATGATGGCGCCGCGCTCACCCTAGCCCCATGCAAGCGCATGCATGATCCCGTGCTCTGCTCAGTCCCGCGCCACGATCCGTACGAAATGCTTCGCCGCCCTCATGTGTACCCATCCCTACCCCGCTCCTCATCGATTACGCATCGTCGGCGTCGTCGCTGGTGTCCACCTTGCACCGCCGCACCCGCGTGGAGGCCACTGAAGACCACACCACAATCTAGGGCCCCTTGTCGCTCTATCGGATGCAAAGCCTTCCACTAGTCCCTAGGAAGCCATCCCAAGCCACGACACAGCCAATTGCTCGCCACCTCTGGCGAATTTTGCGGAGACCAAGCTCTCACCGCTACTAGTCTACTACCATGGCC